CCCCACGTTCCCGAGGAGGACATGGCGCCTCCCGGCACCCACCCCGCCACCCCCGTGCAGACCCCGCCAGGTCCCGACGGGCCGGGCCACGGTGGGCAGGAGGAGGCGGAGCTGACGCTGGCAGCGCCCAGCCCCGAGGGCGCAGAGGGCGCAGAGGCAGAGTGCTCGGAGGGCCTCGCCCCACGCCCCCCAGCCTCCAGGAGCTGCCTGAAGCACCAGGTCCTGGCGAGCAGGGGCCTCAGTGTGTCCCCCACACCGCCCGCCGTCCAGTCACCCCCACAGGAGCCCGCCCCCCAGTCACCCCCACAGGAGCCCGCCGTCCAGTCACCCCCACAGGAGCCCACCCCCCAGTCACCCCCACAGGAGCCCCCTCCCCAGTCACCCCCACAGGAGCCCGCCCCCCAGTCACCCCCACAGGAGCCCACCCCCCAGTCACCCCCACAGGAGCCCCCTCCCCAGTCACCCCCACAGGAGCCCGCCCCCCAGTCACCCCCACAGGAGCCCGCCCCCCAGTCACCCCCACAGGAGCCCGCCCCCGAGACATCCCCACAGGAGCCCGCCCCCTGTGGCCTGGACAAGGAGGCCGCCCCCCCGAAGCCCCCCAGCACGGAGCAGGGCGAGTCCCCGCAGCCGGGAGCTGAGCGGGAGGCGCCGGAGCAGAAAACCGGGAGAGGGGGCGGCAGGCCCCGGGGCGGGAGGAAGTTCTCCGTGTCCTCGGGCCGGGCCTGGCCGCACGCGGGCCACAGGGAGCGGCCGGCGCGCCCCGGCCCCCCGGCCCCCGCCGCCGCCCCCGCCGCCGCCCGGCTGCCCCTGGCGCGGAGCCGGCCGGCCTGGAGGAGCGAGGCCGCCCTGGATGACCCCCCGGCGCCCCCAGAGCGCCAGAACCCCAAACGGGAGCCTCAGGAGCCGCCGTCGCCCGCTGGGCACGGCCCTCAGGACTCGGGGGGGAGGGGGGCCTTCCCGGCCAGGCCCAGGCAGAGGCCCCCCGAGGCGGCGGCCACGCCGGCCACGGGAGAGCCCCGCCCCGCCGCCCAGGAGCCGCCCCCGAGCGGGGACAGGAGCCCCTTCCCCGTCAAGCTCCGGGCCACGTCCCTCTCCTTCAGGCACAGAGACGCGCCCGCGCCGGAGGGGAAAGCAGCCAAGAGGCACAGCGCCGAAGTCAGGCTGGAGAAGGGGGGACTGACGCTGCTCGTCAAAGATGACAAGTGTCACGCGGGGGCGCCCCCCACGCCCCGGGGGACCAGGTCCCCCAACGGCCAGGGGCGGGGGAAGGCCCAGGCATCCGAGCAGACGGGCTTCAAGCCACCCCTGCCCCGGAAGCCGCTTCTGCAAGCCCTCACCCTCCCGTGCCCGCCCGCGGGCCCCGCCAGCAGCCCCGGAGAACCGGCCCCGGGGCCCCGAAAGGAGAGCCGGCCGGCGGAGAAGCGGCCGCCCCGCCGGGGAGCCGGTAAGAGCCGGCCCTGGGCGTGTTGGGGGGTCGGCGGCAGTCAGTGGGCGGGAATGGTCTGCTGGACATCCACCGGGGAGGAGACACAGGTAAAACCTGGCCGCAGGAGATGGGCAGGAAGTCAGCATCCCTCCCGGTGCCCCTCGCATGTCTGAGAGTCAGGCGTGGAGACAGAAGGGGAGACACGTGCCAGGAGGTCTCGAGCTCAGAGAAGTCAGGGATGGTCCGCACTCGTTCTATAAGGCCTTGTTTCCCGGCAGGTGGCCCCCGCGGGCTCAGGCCCCGCCCGCCGCTGAGCTGGGAGCTCGGGAGGCCGCCAGGCTGTGCTCAGGGGGGGTCTCCGCAGCACCTGCGTTCTTGGTTTTAAGGGGAGCATCGGCCCCTGTCCCTTACTGTCCTGGCCTTCACCCCCAAGAAGGTCTAATCCTTGGGCTCCCGGGCTGGGTGTCAGGCAGGGCGCCCCGACATGCCGCAGCCACAGCCTCTGTCCGGTGTGAGCTCCCGGGGGTGTGGCTCCCGGTCCCACAGGGAGCGGTGGGAAAATGGGGCGCAGAGCCGGATACTCTACAGCTCCGTCTTCTGAAATGGGAGAGGCCGGCCGTGGTTTCCGGCGGTGACATGGTCACCGTGGACTCGTGGAGTTTCAGACGGGACGGCCGTCCGCTGGACGTGGCTCTCCGACCCGGGTGACCAGGGCCCTGGGAGAAACTTTTCATGGCAAATTTTTAAATATATATCTTATTGATTTTTCAGAGAGAGGAAGGAAGAGGGATAGAGAGCTAGAAACATCGATGAGAGAGAAACATCGACCAGCTGCCTCTTGCACATCCCCTACCGGGGATGTGCCCACAACCAAGGTACATGCCCCTGACCGGAATCGAACCCGGGACCTTTCAGTCCACAGACCGACGCTCTATCCACTGAGCCAAACCGGCTTCGGCCATGGCAAATTTAAAACACACACACACACACACAAACTTGCAGGATATTTTAAGCGGCTACTCTGAGTCCAGGCTCTACTAAAGTACCACAAGGCGGGACAAAAGAAATCAGAGCCCAGCTGTTCCCCTGGGGCCGTGGTCGGCAAACTCATGGGTCCATAGAGCCAAATAGCAACAGGACAGGGATTGGAATTTCTCTTGCGAGCCAAATTTTTTAAACTTAAACTTCCAACGCCACTTCTTCAAAATAGCCTCGCCCAGGCCGTGGTATTTTGTGGAAGAGCCACACGCAAGGGGCCAAAGAGCCGCGTGTGGCTCTCGAGCCTCAGTTTGCCCACCACGGTCCTAGGGACCTCGCATCCTGAGCGCTAGATCAGGACACTCACTCTCAGGAGGAAGACGTGAGCTCACACACAGCAACCCGGACAGAGACGGGGCTCCCATCCTTTCTGTCCCCTCTTTGCGAGGGAGCAAGAGGGTGTGCAGTGCCTCAGGCCCTAAGGGGACCCCCGGTGCAGACGGTCTGGGGAGAAGAGCCAGGAAAAGGCCTCGCTCGTCCTGGCCCCTGGCTCCACCGTGATTTCCTGCTGCTGCTGCTGCCACGTTAGGACCGTCAGTGGGGAGCTTCGGGGCGGCCGGAGCTGAGGCTGCCCTGCGCCCGGTCCCAGCGCGGTGGCTGAAGCTGCCGTAGAGGGACCCAATGCCTTAGGCTGAACCAGGGAGGCAGGAGGAGGCTTGCTCTTCCAGGTAAACCCCTGACCTCAGCTCCGTCCCCCTTCGTGGCCTGGGATTGGAAATGTCCCTCCAGGGCTTGCTGAGAAGGGAGCTGAGACGCAGGACCCCAGGCTCCCCTGGGAGCTGGGAGCGACGCCGAGGGGAGCGGAGTGGCTCACCGATGACCCTGGCTCCGCCCGCCCGGCAGATCGCCTTCCTCGATGCCCTGTCCTGCGCTGGGCTTTTTCTTTTATTTATAAAATACAGCATAGTATGTATTCACCAGTGGCTTCGCTTCCGCAGCAGAGAGAATTGTGTTCACAGCCTCTGAGCACAGAATAGCCCCGGGGGATGGATTCCAGGGAGGAAGAAACTGGGTGAGGGGGCACGGGAGTGAGTTCGCTTCCGGGAGTTTCATTTCCTCGCAGAGACCGGAGGGGAAGAATGACCCAGGCTCTCTGGGAGCTGGCCCTCCCGAGGGGGAGGTGTCTGAGGGGGAAGTGCCGGGAGAGGCTGTGGCTGCTGCCCAGCCCCCCCTGCCTCGTGCAGGGCCAAGCAGGATCTCAGCGAAGAGCCTCTGAGGTTCGCAGACGCTGGATCTGCTGGTGGTTTGGTTCATTATTGCTTCTGCCGTCCTCCTCCTCCTCCTTGCTCCCACGGGACAGCCGCTGAAGGCAGTTCCGTTTATATAAAAGGTACAGGTTATAGAAGTTTTAGTAACGGTATTGCTCAGAAAGTCCTGGTTACTGCTGTCGATTATCTCGGTGGTAGGCCCTTTGCCCCAGGCCTGGGGGCCCCACCTCCCTGTCCCCACTTCAGGCACAGGTCAGGTCAGGTCAGGTCAGGAGCTGAGGCGTCCCGACGGGTGCCCGCTCTGCCTTCCCTGCGCTCCTGCTAGCCGTGCTCGCCGCTCACACTCCCTCCTCCTTCCTCAGAGGCCTAGAGGAGCTGCCACAGGGAAGCTGGGAGAGTTCCATGTTGTTGCCATAAACCCGGGATCCCGGCTTGCCGAGCGGGCGGGCCTGGCAGGGCCACCTCGGGAGGTGGCGGCAAGCCCAGGCTGCGCTGTGCGCGTCCACCACCGAGCACCCGGCGTCCACTGACGGCCAGAGCAGGCAGATGGCCCTCAGCCAGAGTCTAAACCACAGGATTAGAATCAGCAGAAAGTAGTCGGTGGCTCTCGTGTAGAAAACTGATAAAATACAGGACGTCTATAGAAAGAGCAATCACCTATGAGTCCACTGTCTAGGTGTTAAATCTGTTGGACTTTCCTTCTAATCTTTCTGTGCGTGTGTATGCGTGTGTGCGTGTGTACATGCCTGTGTGTGTGCATGTGTATATGTGTGTGTGTGTGGTTTGTTTTCTGTAGGGTTGTGGTCACATGGCAGATATTGGGGACAGTAGCTGGGGCCTCATTTGGTCACCAGCCTCAGCCTCTAATCCAGCTCATTCCACCCGGCCCGGCCTGGTGACAATGACACAGTCAGGCTCTGGCCTCTTTCTGGACGCGGCCTCACCGGATCACCCTTCACTCACTCGGCAAATACTTCATGTGCTCCCGCCACACACATGCACGGCGCTGGCCCAGCAGCAGTGGGAAAGCACAGGACCTGGTCCCCCGGGGGGGAGGGAGGGGGGGGGAGGTTCTGTGTGTCACAGGGAGTGAGGATAGAAGCCCATCTTATCTTTGGGTATCAGGGAGAAAATGAACTCAGGGAGACTCACTGACCGACCTTTGTTTCAATGTACTTAGATCCATTTGGTAGAATACAAGGGGGACGGATGCTTTTGCTGGCATGCTAAAAGTATACTCATATGTCTTGAATTCTTGAAGAAAACCAACTTTGTCCACACCTACCTTTCCTTTTAGCCTGTCCTTCCCTTCGCAAGTCTCTTCAGCTCCCCGCACAGCACACCTGTGTCCGTCCGCACACCCGCTTCCCCCAGTTCAGTCTGCAGCGGATTTGCCCACGACTTGCACACGGGCAGGAAGTGCACAGCTAATGACAACAGCAGCTGATGTTTACTTGGCCCTTACCAAGTGCCAAGGGTCATAGCAAATGCTCTACAGTTCAATCTCCAACAACAGTCTCCTTTCACAAAGCGGGGAGCTGTGGGAACACCCCCTGTGGCCAACGCCCGGTGTGCTGTGCCAGCGTGGCTCCTGGTGGGGCGAGGGAGGTGCTGCCGGTGTCCAGTGGTGGCAGCAAAGCTACCACCGTGCCCGGGACTCACCCAGCCCGAAGCTCAGTAGTGCCGTGTCCGTGACGGGTGATGATGGGGAGGGAACGGTGTGTAGGAAAGTTGGGGGTCGTACCCCTTCATAGGAGATGGTATGTGACGAGGTGTGTGAGGACTGGGAATCAGGAAGCCCGTGTTCCGATGCCCCATCGTTACGTGTTGGCCCTGGACCCTGAACAAGTCCTGTCCTGCAGAGACTCCATTCCTGTCTCTGAAATGGGGACTGGAAGTGCCCTGACATCACAGAGACGTGTGGGGCTCCTTGGGCACGTGATGCTGCTCTGAGAATCGGGGCCAGTACACCTCAGCTGTTGGCATGCCTCTGGTCGGAGAACTGTCCCTCTCCATCTGGGAGGGGCGAGGGCCAGGTGTAATGAAGGACGGGAAGGCAGGAAGTTTGTGTACATTTTGAATTGTAAGAGGTCGCATGTAATATCATAACGTCACTACTTTTTCTCCTTCCTCTGCTGTAGCTCACAATTATATTCAAACTAGAGCCCCAGTGCACAAAATCCATACACTGGGGGGCCCCTCAGCCGGGCCTGCACCCTCTCGCCGTCGGGAAGCCCTCGGGGGATGTCTGACTGAAGGCAGTGGGACATCCTTAGCGCTACCTCGGAGGTGGGAGAGGCTCCCGCCACCACCGCTGCACTCGCCAGCTTCTGGCTGAGCAGCCCTCCCTGCAGGAGCACACTGACCGCCAGGGGGCAGCTCCTGCACCCTCTCCAATCTGGGACCCCTTGAGGTATGTTCAACTGCCTGTTTAAATAGGGATTGGGTCTAAACCAGCAGTCGGACATCCCTATCACAATCCAGGACTGCTGGCTCCCAACTGCTCACCTGTCTGCCTTCCTGATTGCCCCTAACCACTTCTGCCTGCCAGCCTGATCACCCCCTAACCACTTCCATGCCAGCCTGATTGATGTCTAACTGCTCCCCTGCCAGTCTGTTGCCCACAACTTCCCTCCTCTACCGGCCTGGTCACCCCTAACTGCCCTCCCCTGCAGGGTTGAGTGCCTCCAGCTGCCCTCCCTTGCAGACTTGGTCCCTCTCAACTGCCCTCCCTTGCAGGCCTGGTCCCTCCCAACTGCACTCCCCTGCTGG